GAGAGAGAGAGAGAGAGATCAAAATGAAAGGCACCTAATATTTATAGGATTTTATAATTATAAAATATTAAACTGCATAAATTGTCACTGTGGTTTGTCGAAAATTGTCATTTTGGTCCAAAAATGTTTGAATTAACACCAGTGGTCCAAAAGATTGATTTTGTTGAGAGTTTGATCCAATTTACTTTGAATTTTTTTAAAATGACAAATTTGCCCTTTAATAATTTTATTTTCTATTTTTTTTATTTTGTTATATTTCTAATTTAAATTTTAAAAAAAATGTGTTTTCAGTCCTCCCTCTGGTAAACACCACCACCACCATCTCTCTCTCTCTCTCTCGTGCACGCGTGTGCTGGAACACCTCTGATCTGAACCCTCACCAGCATGCTCTTTATTTCTACTCTGGCGATGGAAACAGATCTACAAATGAGGGTTTGCTTCGAGCTAGGTTTTATTGAGGAACAATCGAGTCGGAGGAGAAGACGAAGGGCGGCGAGAGCCGATAGGTTTGCTTCTAACGGTGGTATTCCACAAACTGGTTTCCAGATCTGGACGGAGGAGGATTTAGGCGAAGGAGGATCTGAATCGTCGCCAGCAGATCTATCGATTCAGGCTTTGTAAGGATACATTTCATATTCTCGGTGGCTTCGTCTGGAAACTCTCAAGATCGATGACGTTCCAGATCTATAAATGTCGTCGTCATCACAACTCGGCGATAGCTTCGTCTAGAAACTCGAGCCACAAACGTCGCCTCCATCTCTCGCTCCTTCTTCGGCGAGTCTCGTCTCTCTCAGATCCGACGAATAGTTATGGTTTTAAGATCTGACAAGTTAGGGTTTCAGATCGCCGACGTCCTTCTTCTTCACCGAAGGTGGGGCTGAAGGCAGTGGCGTCGACAATGATGTTGGTTTGACGGTGGTTTCTGTTGGTGACACCGGTTTTCGGTGGTGGCACCGGTGGTTTTAGTTAATAATAAAGGGAGAGATTGAAGATTGAAGGGATGAGGGGGTATATTTTAGGTTTTATATTTTCTTTTTTGTTTTACTTTTAATTATGATAATTGTAAAATTAATAAAAAAAATAGAAAATGGAAAAAGTAAAGGCAAATCTGTCATTTTAAAAAAATTCAAGCCAAATTGGATCAAACTCGCAACAAAATCAAACTTTTGGACCACTGGTGCTAGTCCAAACATTTTGGACCAAAGTGACAATTTTTAACCACATAGACCATTTGTGCAGTTTAAATAGAAAAATTAAATATCCTTTTTTTTGTTCTTATTATGTTTATACATATACTTATTTAAGATGATGACAAGTATCATCCAATTTAATTTAAATTTGAATGTTTAATTTCTCGTTGGGAAATTCCAGCTCAACACCATTAATTTAGGGTTGATTTGGATTGTGTGAGAAAGGTTTTGTTGAATTTGCCATAAGAGGTTATGTATTCTAATGTAAAGAGAGGATTCTAAATATAAATAAAATAAATAAATAAATAAATAAACCTTTAGTTTCTCGACATGGAAGGCAGGATTGATTATTTTTCTGTGTTTAACCCATTGATCAGCATTAACGTCAACTAATCCCGTGACTAGCAACTTTGTTAATGGATTTCCTCCTCTCGGCTTTTGAAATTGATAATAATCGGAGAGGATCTCTCTTATCATTGATGGCTCATATATTTGTACCATTGGTGTTGGCCCCATCCATATAAAAATATTCTTACCTATGCAATTAAGCCCGAGTCAATCTGATCATTATAACACATTCAACTTTGAAAAATTAATATGTAAAAGGGACAATTATACTCCAATTATATATAAGCATGCCAAATTGAGTTAATATATATTTAGGGTTAACCGTTTATTTATGCAACCATATTTCAATTAAAGATCAAAATATGTAATATATCTATATTTATCAATAACCGGTAAAAATATGAGTAAAAAGTGAAACATTGTTATATAAATCGGTAAATTCATATAACATTATTGCAGATGGATACATTAAAGTTTTTTTTACGTAATTGAAATCTGATTTACTTCTAATTATAACATATGTCTAGTTGAACTTATGATACTGCAAGACCAAGATGTAAACATTTAAGTGGCACACAAAATCTAAACGAAAAGTGAAACAATGTTGCATAATAGAAGGCGAGCAGTATTAATACAATATAATATATATTTTTTACTTTTAAAATAAAATGTTATTATATATTTAATGTAAAAGTCTAATCTATTGCAAAATTAAAAAACTGATATATAATATTATTATGTAAACAAACAGTTTTAATGCCGTTAAGGGCATATTAAAGTGAACTAGTTAGTACTCATTTATTTTCGACATATTTATACATTTAAAATTTAAAAATGCATATAATTGTTTGATGGAAAAGAATTTCATTAAAAAAAAACAGTTCTATCTTTACACGTTTCTTATAGCTCATTGAATTGTTTTAATATTCAAAAACTTTTCTATGATATTTTATATTATCTTTCTATTTTTCTTCCTCACCACAAATATATTAATATATAATTAATATTATTTAAATAAAACGCTTGTCATAGATAATAATAATAGAAGGATATTTAATTTTTTTTTTCTAAATATATCTTGAATTAAAATTTCTTTATTTACATGATATGCAAGTTTATAATTCTTATCGATAAACGACGAGCTGAATAGATGATCGAAAACGTGAAATTTTAAAACGGATCATAACAATTTGGAATAGATTGTTAACAATATTTTAAATAAATATTATTTACTACGATATTGATCCAATTTTTTAAATAAACCAATATTGAAGTTCATGAATTGAGTAAGTACCGTAAGTACTAATGGATTTATAGATGAATGGTGAGACACGAGGAGTGATATCATGAGTTAGACTCATCGGTTTCAATTTGGCTTCACTTGTCATGTGCACCAAATCTTTTAAGTCCCCGTACATGAATTTGTAAGAACTGCCGTTGAAGCCTTGGTCTCTAAGAAGCGTTTCTTTCTTCTTCGGTTCAAACCACAACCAATTTGAAAGTCTCCATACAAAGAACATAAAGATTGATGCTACTCCAAGAACACTACATACTGTAGTTAACTCCATTAATGGTGGATCTGAATCTTGTGGTGGTAAAGTCAAAGAATGGAGGAGGACGATATATATGTATAGCTTGATTATATATACATTTCACCACCTTATTTTTTTGCTAGTCGACGGTATTGCTACTTGTGATTCTATTGTCTTCGTGGCAAGTCCTTGACACAAAATAGAAAGAACATAATGTTTTGCAGCAAAAAATGTATTTTCTACAATATTTATTTTTATTATGTAGTTTGTTAAAAATATTCATCCATTTATTTAACTTTTTACATATTTATTAATATATTTTTTATACAAAAACTTTATAAAATATATATCTAAATTGTAACCAAATTAGTTATTTGTATATTTTAATTTGAGTAAGATTTTATTTTATTAATACCATATTTGTTAGATAAAAAACTATATTTAGTTTAATTTTTATAGAAACAAAGTGTGAGATCCATCTAGTACACGAGTTTATTAAAAATAAAAGTTTTATATCAATGTGTAAACATTAAATACTTTTAATGCCTACTTTATTTCAAAGTTTAATAAAATATATTTTATTATATCTCAATTTTGACAATATTATTTTATAATATTTTATTATTTTAATTATGTAACAAAATAATCATAATAAATGTTTTTAGTGGTAGAAAAAACAAATTATTTATTATTATATTCATTTTATGGAGAAAAATATATTTATCTTAAATAATAAACATTTCATTAATTATAGTGTTGATCTATATATTTAATATAATAAATACTATACATATATAATAATAGAGGTGTTAATTAGTGAAATTGATTAATTTTTTATTAACAAAAAAATGAAAATACCATATAATGACATGTGAAATTTAAGTAATTCAAAAATCTCACATAATGACATATGACAAAAATCTTGAAAGAATAACAAACAACAAAAAAACCTTCATTTATTAAAGCAGGTTCGATATATTAAGATTAAGTTTTATATCTATCATTAATAAATATCAAATTAATATAAAATATAATATTATAATGAATAATTGTCATATTCAGATCATACTTATTCATATTCTATAAAATAAATTGGAATAAATATGAATGTTGAAGACTAAGGTGGTGTTTGTTTTTTTATTCGCAGATCTTTTTGGCCTCTTCTGTCTGCGCGGCGCAGACCACGCGCATACATTAGCCTTCTCAAACTGTTTGTTTTTTTGAAGACTGCAGACCTAAAAATGTCTGCGCGCCTTCTTCTTGGCGCAGATGTGGACCAGGGTCTTCTAACATCTTCAGACATCTTCTAGTTTAAAAAAATACATATATCTTTATTTATTTTTTTATTTTTTTGAATTTATATTTATTCCAACTTTATTAGTGATAAACAATTTGAAAAAAATTACAATACTTACAAAAAAATCGACGAAACATACATGATGTTTTTGACAAATTTATAAAAAAAAATTTATTATAATAATGGTCGTTGAAGTTGTTTATATATATATATATATATATATATATATATATAT